GGTCTAGGCCTGAAATGTCACCCTTCCTGCTCCTCTGATGCTGCTTGGCCTGCTGTGTTCATCCAGCTCTATACCTTGTTATCTCAATTTTTAAACAGTGCCCCTTTTGTTTCAGACAGCACCACCAAGAGAAATGTCCCCTCAGCTTCCAGCCTGTCAAATCTCTTCAGAATCTTGTATGTTTCAATATGATTGTCTCTCATTCTTCTAAACTCCAATAGGTAAATAGGTCCACCCTATTACCTCAGGAATCAGTCAAGCGAAGCCTTTTTACACTGCTTCTAGTCCATTTATATTCTTTCTTAAATGAGGAGACAAAACCTAACACTGTCATGGCCTTGTGAAGGTACTGCACAGCTGTGGCAATATTCCCCTTCTATCATTCTCTATTTCCCCTTTCAATGAATGCAAATGTTCCGTTTGTCAGTTCCTGTACCGATGGAGTAACTTTTCTGTGATTAGTACATAAGGACACTCAGATGCCTTTGCATCACAGTTTCTGCAGTCCCTCCCCACTTTCCAAGATGGTGGCAGAGTAGCAGCATTCAGGCTTGCGCTCATCCGCTGCTTTTTTCAACCCATTTCTCTTTTTTTTCTTTTCTTTCAACTTCTCTCTACGATTCTCTCTGACCTTTCTCCCTTTGGGGAGTTCGGCTGCTGGGGCATCGGTGCCAGCAGCGAGTGTGGACCCAGCAGCGGGAGATGGTGCCGGACCGTGGCGTATTCAACGTTGGTGTGTCCGCGCAGATGGCAGCGAGGCGTAGGGCTCGAGGTGGTGGCACCTCAGTGTTGGTGTTCCAGCACAGACAGCGTTGGTGGGTGAATCTGGCTCGATTCATGGTGGCAGCGGTCAGTGTGATCTGGACATTTTCCTTTCGTTTCTGTTTCCTTAATTCCTGCCCTTATTTTTAATTCCAACTATTATATTCTAAGATGGCACTGGAGATTGGTGTCTCTACGCTTTCAATGCACTCCTGTACTCGGGTACAGGTGGCAATAAAATCTCATCTCATCTAGTTCAAATAATGCACTGCTTTTCTGTTCTTCCTCTCAAAGTGGATAAGATCACGTTTTCCTACATTAGCAGTTGATGGAAGCAATTGTGAACCTCTATCTTCCTGACTGAGAGCAGTAAATAGGTCACTGACTGAGACATGAGAGATTGCTATGCGGCAAATACCAGCATTAGCTTTTATTGAGTTGTTGCTGTCCATTCACAATAGCTTTCATATTTGAATGAACAAAAATGCGTTGGAAACTGAATATAATGAGGCCATCTCATATCCATCACAACCTAGTTTATAAGTAAAACCGGTGTCCTCTTTAGCTTCAGGTGAACAAGTTGGACACCTTAATGAAAACTGTGCTCAATAATATTGGAATGGTCCTTTCTCGTCGAAATTTAATGGGGGTCCTTTTAACTCTCTGCAATGGGGAAAAGTGAGCAATATTGAGTTAGCTGCTGCTATTCACTCAACTTACTTTTCATAGGATCACAGAACTTTTGGACATTGGTGAGGCCACTTTTGGGATACTGCATACAATTCTGGTCGTCCTTCTATACGAAAGACGTGGTTAAACTTGAGAAGGTGCAGAAAAGATTTACAAGGATGCTGTCAGGGTTGGAGGGTTTGAGCTATAGGGAGAGGCTGGAAAGACTGGGGCTTTTTTCCCTGGTGCATCAGAGGCTGAGGGGGTGATCTTGTAGAGATTTATAAAATCCTGAAGGGCGTGGATAGGGTGAATAGCCAAGGTGTTTTTACTAGGGTAGGGGAGTCCAAACCTAGAGGACATAGGTTTAAGGTGAGAGGGAAAAGATTTAAAAAGGATCTGAGGGGTAATGTTTTCATGCAGAGGGTAATGTGTGTATGGAATGAGTTACCAGAGGAAGTGGTGGAGGCTGGTACAATTACAGCATTTAAAAGGCATCTGGATGAATAGGAAGGGTTTTGAGGGTCATGGGCCAAATGCTGGCAAATGGTAAGGATATGAGTTGGGCTAAAAGGTTTATTTCCATTCTGTAAGACTGTTGTGGGTGCATAAAGATGCCATTTGACCCATCATGCCTGCACAGGCTCTATTATCTAGGGCCAATCCCTTGCTTCTTCTCATATCCCTGCACACCATTTCTACACAAAAAAGACCATCCAATTCCCCCTGTTGAATGCCTCAACTGAACCTGCCTCCACCACATTCCAGACAGATGCTGTAAATTAGGAACAAAAACAAAGTTGCTGGAAAAGTCCAGCAGATCTGGCAGCATCTGTGAAGGAAAAAAATAAGTTAATGTTTCAGGTCCGTTCGGAGGAAGGGCCACCAGGCCCGAAACTTTAACTCTGTTTTTTCCTTCACAGATGCTGCCAGATCTGCTGGGCTTTTCCAGCAACTTTGTTATTGTTGTATTTAAGACTGTCTTGTCTGTCCATGATATAATACAGTATAATGAACTGTCTAGTTTAGTATAAACTTTCATAGTTGTCTCTGCTGGAACCTCCATGTGGCACAGTCTCTTTACCAAGATGACTGTCCTTTCCTGCAGGCTATTCAGCCCATCAAGTCCACACTGACCCTCCGAAGAGCATCCCACACAGACTCACCACTCCACCTGTACACTTGCATTTCCCATAGCCAATCCACCTAGCCTGCACATCCCTGGACACGATGGGCAATTTAATTCTATTGGAGGCCGTTCAAAGGAGGTTCACTGGATTGATTCTAGAGATGAACAGTTTATCTTAAGAGGAGAGATTGAGCAGTTTGGGCATTTACTTTTTAGAGTTTAAAAGAATGAGAGGAGATCTGATTGAGGTATATAAGATGCTAAAGGGGACTGACAATGTAAACATAGAGTGGATGCTTCCTAATTTGGGGCAATCTAGGATGAGAGGTCATAGTTTTAGGTAAGGGGTAGAAAAATTTAAAACAGAGATGAGGAGAAATTCTCAAAGGGCCATGAATCTGTGGAAGCTCTCGGGTTCAAACTTTTGGTAATATTTAATCCAAACTGACTCTATGGTACTGTCAGAAGTGTCATCCTTTGGAGGAGAACCACTCTATCCCAAAAAAAAGATCCCAGGACACAATTCCAAGTGGAGGTAATGAATTGTCCCTGATGCCTCGGCCAACATTTGTCCTTTAACCAAAATTTTTTGGTTAATGAATTGATAATGTATCATTATCTTGGAGCAGTAGGTTGGGGTTTGTTTGTGAACCCATCTTCTGGATAATTAGGGGCTGGGTAATGAATGCTAACTCCATCAGCAACTTCAATGTCCCCAGAATGTGTAAGAAAGAAGAGAGCAATTAGCATTTGTTACGGGTAGGATAGGTTCGGCTTACGCAGTTCACACCCCTTCCTTATTGTTTTTCACCTCTGTGTATTGACATCAAATCAGGACAGCACTGACTCATCCTGCTCCAAAGGGTGTAATTTAAGAACTCCTTCCTAAATGCTAGGAGGGGTCAGCTGTGAAGAAACAGGGGAACAAACAAAAGTTGTACTTTGTTCTACCTTAGTGTTCTTACTGAAAAAGAAACCATTCAAATGTGTACATAAAAATGAATTAGTTGGTAAAAACACAAAGGCAGGAACAAGATAAAGGGCATTTAGCCTATTAAGCTTATTTGGGGCTATTCAGAATCTTCTCTACATCCTATTTGACTTGACTCAACTAATAAATCTCAGGAAGGAAGATTTTGCAAATTGTGTCACAGAAGAAAATCAGACGAGACCATTCAACGTTGCTCATAGGACAAGGCAGTAGCTTTTGTTCTAATGTAATGAGACTGGTCTGGTAATTTGATGGGACACACGGTCAAATCCTACAACACCAAAAGACATAGCAACAGAAGTAGGCCATTCAGCCCATCAAGCCTGCTCACTCTCCTACAACCTCTTCCGTCAGGCAGAAGGTACAGAAGCTTGAACACACACACCAACAGGTTCAAGAACAGCTTCTTCCCTGCCGTTATTAGACTGATGAATGGACCTCTCTAACTTCAAATAATGCTGATCTTGTTAATGTTGATCTTGCCTCGTGCATGTCCTGCGCGATGTTACCTGTATTCCTTACTCTGTCCGAGTTATTTTTCACCCTATGATCTGTATGTCCTTCCTTGCTATGATCTGCCTGTGCTGCTCGCAAACAAAGCTTTTCACTGCACTTAGGTACACATGACAATAAGTCAATTAAATCAAATCAAATCAAACCATTCATTGAGATGATGGTTGTCCTGATAATCCTCAACTCATTTTCCTGCCCTTTCCCCAGACCCTTGATTCCTTTACAGATTAAAACCTGTCTCAGACTTGAATCTGAGATAGTAGGAACTGCAGATGCTGGAGAATCTGAGATAACAAGGTGCAGAGCTGGATGAACACAGCAGGCCAAGCAGCATCAGAGGAGCAGGAAGGCTGACGTTTTGGGCCTAGACCCTTCTTCAGAAATGGGGGAGGGGAAGGGGGTTCTGAAATAAATAGGGAGAGAGGAGGAGGCGGATAGAAGATGGATACAGGAGAATCCAGCTCTACACCTTGTTATCTCAGACTTGAATCTACTAATAACCCAGCCTCAATAGCTGGGCAGCATGGTGGCTCAGTGGTTAGCGCTGCAGCCTCACAGCGCCAGGAACCTGGGTTCGATTCCACCCTTGGGTGACTGTGCGGAGTTTGCACATTCTCCCTGTGTCTGCATGGGTTTCCTTCGGGTGCTCTGGTTTCCTCCCACAGTCCAAACATGTGCAGGCTAGGTGGATTGGCCATGCTAAATTGGCTGTAGTGTTCAGGGATGTGTGGATTAGGTGGGTTATAGAGGGATGGGTTTGGGTGAGATGCTCTCTGTTACAGTCTCTTGTTGGGCTGAAGGGCCTGTTTCCATACTCTAGGAATTCTATAACTTCTCTTAGTGCTCAAGAATTCCACAGATTCACTACCCTCAGAGAGAAGGAAATTGCTCCTCATCTCTGTCTTAAATGTGTAATCCCTCATTCTGAGATTATGCCCTCAGCCAGTGGAAGAATTGAACCCACATTGCCAACATCACTCTGCATCACAAACCAGCCATCCAAGCTAACCAACTCCCATGGTTACTAATGGGCAACCTATAGACTACACCTTCCAGTGTCTTTGCCTTTTTATGTTTTAACTCCATCCGAATGGATCCTACATCTTCTGATGCTCAATCAATTCTTTGCATTGTACTTATTCCATCTCCTACCAAGAAAGCGACCCCACTATCTTTTTCTTCCTGCATGTCGTTTTGAAAAGTTACATACCCCTGAATATGTAACTCCCAGTTTTGTATTCACTTTGTGGTGGAACCTGTAGCGCACTGTCTCTCTGTTACAGTCTCTTAATAACTAACCCGATAACACAGGCTGTCTCTCTGTCAGACTCTCTTTCCTTCAGCTTGCAGAATTTGAATTCAACCAGTTAAAAAACAAAGATTTAAAAGTTAGTTACAGTAATGATGTTAGAGAAACTAGCACATTTGTTGTAAAAACTTATTTCATTCATGAAAGTTATTAGTGTCTTTTAGGGAAGGTAATCTTGTTTTGGTATTTCGAACCCAGATTACTCATTTTGGGTGATGCAACACTTTTTTTGTTGTAATTTATTTATAGGGATTGTGGGCTTTGTTAATAGGTCAGCATTTATTGCCCAGGGCATGGTTATGAATCACTGAAGTGGGTCTGCATTTACATGCAAGTCAGACCAGCTAAACGTTGTCAGTATTTTTTTCTGTGCAAAAAGTGAAACACGTGGAAAATTCACCTGTCTCAATAACTTAATCAGTTCTGGAGAGTAAGCTGAAAGAGTATCAGGCAGTGCAATAGGGTAAAGAAAGAGGCTGTGCCATAGGAACAGCACTGTGCCATAGTGGGAGAGAGAGAAAGAGATCAGACAGAAAGATATAGAGTACCATAGAGGGTGTGCCAGAGAGAGAGAGAAAGAGAGAACCTGAGTTATTGAGTTAGATATCTAGAGACTGTGACAGAGAGAGAGCGTGCTACAGATTGTCCCACAAAGCCTCTACAACATTGCAGAGTTGCCATCTATTCCCCGAGAGGAACAGATCTCACCGTGGGACCTGCACCATGACAGCACTCGCCCAGACACTCTCAGTCTCTATCCATCTTCTCCTCAGTCTCCTCTCCATCTGCAATGCCCACAGGTCAGTCCCGCGTAAAACCGGTATAGTTTGCAATAAAGTATTGTTGCTTTTTAAAGGTGAACTTTTCTGTTTAAAAGTAATTCCACCTTGTCATTCAGCAAGTAGAGAACAAGGAGGGAATCTGTTTGTAATTTCTTTTACAATAGTTTTTAGATATCTCTACTGTTGGTTTCAGGTTGAGAATTATTCGCAATGTGAGTGTCTATTAACTCCTACTTATCCCAAATATGTCAGAGACTGAAAGATCACTTGGTGTTTTTATCCTGGAGCATAATTATGTTGAAACCACTCTGTGTAAGCTTATTTGGTCAAAGTGCAATATCAGATTTCAGAAAGTAATTCAAATACTGGTTAAATCTGCTTGGTATGTAGCTATAACAGAGAAACCGTGCTCACATTTTTCCCCAAGTTTAGAAAGTTTTTGTTTGAATATTTTCGAACCATATCTCTTGTTTACTTGTCTCTACACTCGGATGGGGAAATGAAGATATATATTGTGGCTAATGGGACATCATCAAAAATGTAACAACTTTTGAAACAGTCAAAATGTTATTTACATATTCATAGAGAGAGAGACAACTTGTGGATCTGCTGTCCTCCAGAATAAGGAATTTGAGATTCCCTGTGTCTGTGTGTGCTACGTTTAGACCAATAGATGTGAGTCACAGGAAGATACAAATTGGTAGCAGTAATAGGCTATATAGCCCATTGAACCTGCTGTTCCAACAAATAAGATAGTAGCTAAACTGGTAGTGACCATAACACTGCATTCCAGCCCACTCCCGGTGACCTTGGAGTTTCTTGCTGGAGTCTGTTTGGAAATGGGTATATTTCAGCCTTTTTCAATCATTCGCTAAATCTCCTGAAACAATGCTGCATCATTAACAGTGTAGTGTATCAATGTAAATATTGCTATTTACATTTTAGGGCCTTAATCTGTTTCCTCATGTGGGCCCAATCTAGAACAAGAGGTCATGGTTTTAGGATAGGTGGTAGCAGGTTTAAAACAGAGATGAGGAGGAATTACTTCTCTCAAATGGTTGTGAATCTGCAGAATTCACTCCCCCTGAATACGATGGATGCTGGGACATTAAGTAAATTTAAGGAAGAGATAGATCTTTAATTAGTAACAGGTTGAAGGTTGATGAAGAGCGGGCAGGAAAGTGGAGGCTGAGATGAGATCAGCCATGAATATATTAAATGGCAGTGCAGGCTTGAGGGTCTGAATGGCCCACTCCTACTCTTAGTTCTTATGTTCTAAGTTCTCAATCTACATATTAAAAGAAAATCATTGACTGACAATAACAGAAATTACTGGAGAAGCTGAGCAAGTCTGGCAGTGTCTGTGGAGAAGAAAGCAGAGTGAACGGTTTGGGTTCAGTGTCCCTCCTTCAGAACCATTCTAAAGAAGGCTCACTGGACCTGAACAGTTAACTCTGATTTCTCTCTACAGATGCTGCCAGACCTGCTGAGCTTTCCCGACAATCTCTGTCTTTGTTTTTGATTCCCAGCATCCACAGTTCTTTTGTTTCAGAGATAGTAGGAACTGCAGATGCTGGAGAATCTGAGATAACAAGGTGTAGAGCTGGATGAACACAGCAGGCTAAGCAGCCTCAGAGGAGCAGGAATGGCTTGCTGTGTTCATCCAGCTCTACACCTTGTTATCTCCTCCAAACCTTTCCTCTTTTTGTATTTATCCAAATGTCTTTTAAATGTTG